CGGACGGACATTGTTCCGGGTCTTCGGTATTTGGTGGAGATGTTAGTGAAGGCGGAGAAGAGGGCGAGCTAGAGGAAAAACAGGCAGATTCCTCCTCCATTTACAAACTCCTGGGGATGCAACAAGTGGGCGTGGTGCGTCGACTTCCGGATCTGACGTCGACAAATTTTTAGAATCGAGCCGTCGACGTCATCGACGCTTCGCTACAGCCCTAGGAGCTAGGGCTGCTCAATTAATCGAATTTTAATCACGATTACGATCTGAGTTTTGAACAATTATAAAAAACAAAACAAGCCGATTATTTGCTCCTCCCACTTGCGCTGCCCTGAGTTGCAAATGAAGCGCACCTCCACAGTGTTGCCAACTTAGCGACTTTGACGCTATTTCTAACAGCTTCTCAGACCCCCTTCTTGACTTTTTAATCCTAAAAGTACCTAGCAAACACCTCAGAAACATCTCTGGTAACCCTTAGCTACTTTCTGGATAACTGTCGTCGACATTTCCTGCAGGTTAGCTAAACACTCCGCCTGCACTCCGGACCGTTCTTCACAACATTAGGAAAGGGAATGATGTAGTGATGTGTCGGTCGCTAAAGACACTGCTCTCGGAGCCGGCTCCCTGTTGGAGTAACCAGAGTGAGTGACACACACACACCGCACCTGCGGACTCCTGAGCAGCTAAAAACGGCTAAATGTGCACGTGCGGCGTGCTAAACACACGTGCAGCTTGCCCGATTGCTGTGAGACCGGGTTGGGGGGTGGGGGGTGGAGCTGTGGTTGGGACAATTATTACATTAACTGATGGACTTGTAAACAAATAGTTTATAAATAAGGTAGAAATAAGTTCCTCACGCTGATAAATAATAACTAACCTCTCTGAGGACACGGTGCTAGTGCACGCTCCTACAGCACCTTGACACGACTCAATAAATGTTATACAACATTTTGTAAACATCAGTTTATTTGCATTTATTTGTTATAAATGCCACTGTATAATTCTTGCTGTCAGTATTTGCAAGATATTGGTATTTGGGTCTGTACTGGTTAGACTTACATGAGTTAAACCAAGGTCTATAGCCCTTGGGTCATAGACTAGGAGCTATAAGTATATTGGTCTTTTTATACTAGGAATCAGGAGTTATTTTAGTGATCATCTTGTTTCTTATTTATTGTTGTCCTGATTGTGCCCTGAGCAGTTTTATGACTGAATAAAAACAAATAAAATCAACATAAATTGAAAAATCGCCCTAAATAATCGTGATCTCAATTTCAGTCACCATAATCGTGATTATTATTTTTGCCATAATCGAGCAGCCCTACTAGGAGCCACTAACAAATACACACACACACACACACACACACACACACACACACACACACACACACACACACACACACACACACACACACACACACACACACACACACACACACACACACACACACACGCACGCACACACACACAGGCTCACAATGACATTGTGACATCATATGGTACCAGCTAACATTCTAGGGTACCTCTTAGCAATGGCGATGGCAGATTTAAATTCAAATGCAGTGCAGAGTTTTTACCTGACAACGGCACAACACTGACAGTTTTAGGCAGAAAATTAAAATTTTAACTAAAATGCACTAAAGTGCAAAACTATTGACTTCACGTGTCTGCAGCACAACTAGACACACATTTATGTAGTTTATCAGAAAAAAGGTAGATTTGGGGGTGACTTGCTCTTTAACTCATTCACTGACATTGACAACTGAAGTCGTTATTTGCATGTTTTTACTTTGCGGGCGTCGGACGAGCCCCCGCACCGTGAGAACAAACAGCTCTGTAGCCGATCTTCATTCGCGTACGTCACACGTCACATGACCAGGAAGCAGAACATCCATGTGTTAGGAGATCGTTTTGGGCCGCTGCTTTAAAAAAAGTGAGGCGCGAACCGGAAAAGCTTCTGCCGATCACAATTCAACAACGGATTATGAAAGAACGGATAAAGCTTGAAATGCGTGGATTCTTCCTGATGTAAGAGGTGAGTCTCCGCTTTGTTTTGGTTGTTTTGGCGTCAACATCATCCTAGCGCGCAACGTTCAGTCACTCTTAAAAAAACGGTGAGAAACGCTGGCAGCGAATGAGTTAAAAGATGACTGTAAAAATGTCCTCGTGGAACATCTGTGATAGCAAGCAGGAGCTAGCATAGTGCCATGTTAGCGAACCTTAGCATCGCCATACGATGCTGTTATTCATGACCCAGATCTAAAGTTGAACCCAACACTGCTTCATCGTGTTGAACCAGAACCTTGTTTTAGGGAAAACTCACACGTGTTCAGCTTTGTTGTTTAAAACGACATGAATGTGTTTTGTGTGAACAGGCAGCAGTCTGAACGCCATCTACCGTTACTATAGCAACCGAGGAGACCGGCCAAAGATGCGCTGGAGCGTGATCGACCGCTGGCCCACACACCCCCTACTGGTGGAGGTTGGAATAATGCTTCTTATCCCATCCTTACATCAGCTTTTGTTTTTGTGTCCGTTCTAAATGACGTAGGTGATCGCTTCCAGGTGCAACAAAAACCTGCTAAACATCTCTGAGGTTGTTTGAAAATGTACAAGGTGAAGTAGGACGAGATAATGATTCACGCCTCATTGATGCTAGAAGCTCCGATATGAACCCGACGGAGTTTTGCAGGCTTCCTTACAGAAGCTCAGTCCCAGCAGTAACGGGTCCAGCTGGTGCTCGGTGGCCACTCGAGGAAGAAGGAGGCAGACATGTTTGTTTTTGTGTTTTCAGTGTTTCGCCGAGCACGTCAGAAACGAGCTGCTGAAGTTTCCTGCAGACAAACGAGACGACGTGGTCATCCTGTTCTCCGCTCACTCGCTGCCCATGGCTGTAAGTAGGCCCCCCCACCCCCGCTCGGGCTGATGGTTTGAGTCCCGTTGGTACAGACCATTACTACACTAAAGAATAATGCAGTTCTGAATCATGAAGTGATGACTTCATAACAAAATCCATCCGTCCGTGTTCAGCTGCTTATCCGGTCCGGCCCCGGGGGCCGCGGTCTAAGCAAGGAGGCCCAGACTTCCCTCCCCCCGGCCACTTGGGCGAGCCCCTCCGGGGGAATCCTGGGTCTTCCTTTAGGTCTCCTCCTGGTTGGACGTGCCCAGAAAACCTTTTATAAGAAAATGAATTTCAAATTATTTTAAAGATTTTAAGTCACAATTCTGACCCTGAGATGAGTCGTAATTCGGACCAGATCAAAGTCACAACTACAGCGTTCAAAATCTCCACCAGCATAAATAACGACTTCTGAAGTCTGTGTTTATGCGGCTTTATGTGATTTTTGTGAGAATTAAAGTCAATTTTAGTCAAAACTCTGCCATAAAGTCTCGTTCCGACATTGAAAATGTTAATTATGACTTTTCAAATCATATTTGTAACTTTTAAAGTTAAAGGCATTCATATATTTATGGTAGTTATTTATTTTCAAATAGTAATAAGTGTGTGTGTGTGTGTGTGTGTGTGTGTGTGTGTGTGTGTGTGTGTGTGTGTGTGTGTGTGTGTGTGTGTGTGTGTGTGTGTGTGTGTGAGAGATTTAAAGTCTTAATTCTGACTTTTAAAGTAACTTTAATTTTCACATTTAGGATTCTGACTCTCTGGTCTTTTAGACTTTAAAACAAAGCGTTTCAGGGTTATTTTTCTAATTATTTTTAATAAGAAGAATATTCATTTTGTTTTTATTATTGTAAGATACCATGTGACTGCGGGTCTCCATCCTGATTCGTTAACATCAGTGATGTCATGTGTTTGTCTCTGATCAGCTGAGAATCAGATGATTCGCTAACTCCTGATGTGACCATTATTATAAACTGAAGTTAGTCGTGTGACTTGTTGGTGTTTGTCCCACGACTCGTCCTGTTTGACCCCCGCAGGTCGTGAACAGAGGTGACCCGTACCCTCAGGAGGTGGGGGCCACGGTTCAGAGAGTGATGGAGAGCCTGGGAGACTGTAACCCATATAGGCTGGTGTGGCAGTCCAGGGTGAGTCTCTCTCTCACACACACACACACACACACACACACACACACACACACACACACACCAAGAGCTTCCACAGACCTGCAGTAATGGTTTCATCCACAAGAGGGCGCCAAATGTTTAATAATTCCTGCTGCTGTTCCAGTCCAGATCCAGTGGCTCCGGTCCAGATTTCTGCTCATCCGATTCAGTCATCAGACTTTAGGGAAGAATCTGGGTTTTATTTGATAAAAGTGTGACTGGATTATTAAATGCAGGTCAAAGATAGAAAGTAAAGAGATGACACGTAAAATAACACCACGCAGCAGCCTGCAGCTCCCCCTAGAGGCGGTGTAGCTAAATGAGCAGCATCTCATCTATCAGGGTCGACGTTAGGACTCGGACTCGGACCAGAACCTGAGGGTCTGTGTTTGGTCCTGCAGGTGGGACCCATGCCGTGGCTCGGCCCGCAGACCGACGAGGTGATCAAAGGCCTGTGTGAACGAGGGAAGAAGAACCTGCTGCTGGTTCCCATCGCCTTCACGTCGGACCACATAGAGACGCTTCACGAGCTGGACATCGAGTACGCTCAGGTTCTGGGAGAGGAGGTGAGGAAACCCGCCCTGGGTTTGGTTCTGGTGGCGTTCTGAGTGGGCCAGGCCAGTCCCATCATTAGCCACTTTATCTGAGTTCTTCCTCTGAGGTCTTCTCAGAGACGGAACCACCAGAACCGTGAGGTCCGTTTGCAGCCAGTAAGAGCTGTGGGCCGAGTTGAGGAGCTGGAACCAACAAAAGGAGATTTTCCCATCGAGTGTCCAGGCTCGGAGAAATGTTCGGTCCGGAGTTCTGGAAGGTGGTTTTAATTCTAATGATAAACCCGTTTATTTAGGATCCGAGTGTGGGGATCAGTAATAAACATAAACGTTCATCAGAACTCTGTTCACCTGAAACCATCAAACTTTTTTATCAAGAAGGTGGTTCAGCTGGGATCAGAAAAGATGGACAAAAACAGGAATTTCATGTTTTAGCTGAATGGATTCAAGCCTGAAAGCAGGATCAGATTTATTTATGAAGCACGACTGAAGGATACGGAGGCAGCCGACCAGCAGTAGAACGGGACGAACAGAATAAACGTGTTCAGGTCGGTTTTAGAGCGACTCCTGCAAACGTGAGACTCTCAGACCTCTGCTGTGTTTTTGTTTCAGTGCGGCGTGGAGAACATCAGGAGAGCAGAGTCTCTGAATGGGAACCCGCTCTTCATGAAGGTACAAGCTCCGTGTTCATTAGTTAGGTTGGTCTAGTAAAGGTTCTACTGGGTGAGATGGGAGTCGCTCATCACAGGTCCACATAAATCCCTTTAAATTGACTCTGAGGAGGATTTTATTTTGAAAAGCTTCATCCGCTTCCCCATTTCCTGTCTACAGAAACGTCACTGATCCCAGTGTGATCCAGATGTTGGTAGATTCTAATTTATTATTTAAACTCGATTCTTAAAGGTTTAGAACTAATAATTGTGTTTTTTTGTTGTTCTTCTGCTTTTGCTTCGATTTTTCAATCCAGTCTCACGTTTGAGTACAAATTTATTTAAAAAACAAAAAGTGTGTGTGTGTGTGTATACATGTTAATGTGTGTGTATGCATGTGTGTATACATGCGTTTGTGTTTGTGTGTGTGTGTGTGTATCTGTATACATGCATGTGTGTGTGTGTGTGTACATGCATGTGTGTGTGTCTACATGCATTTGTGTGTGTGTGTGTGTATCTGTATACATGCATTTGTGTGTGTGTGTGTGTGTATCTGTATACATGCATTTGTGTGTGTGTGTGTGTATCTGTATACATGCATTTGTGTGTGTGTGTACATGCATTTGTGTGTGTGTCTACATGCATTTGTGTGTGTGTCTACATGCATTTGTGTGTGTGCGCACGTGTGTGTGTGTATACGTGTGTGTGTGTGTGTGTGTGTATATACATGCATGTCTGTGTTTATACGTTTGTGTGTGTATGCATGTGTGTGTATAGCATGCATGTGTGTGTATACGTGTGTGTGTGTGTGTATATATACATGTGTGTGTGTTTATACGTGTGTGTCTGTGTGTGTGTGTGTGTGTATACATGCGTTTGTGTGTGTGTGTGTGTATATATGCATGTGTGTGTATAACATGTGTGTGTGTGTGTGTGTGTGTATATACATGCGTTTGTGTGTGTGTGTGTGTGTGTATACATGTGTGTGTGTTTATACGTGTGTGTGTGTGTGTGTGTGTGTGTGTGTGTGTGTATACATGCGTTTGTGTGTGTGTGTGTGTGTGTGTGTGTATACATGCGTTTGTGTGTGTGTGTGTGTATACATGCGTTTGTGTGTGTGTGTGTGTATACATGCGTTTGTGTGTGTGTGTGTGTGTATACATGTGTGTGTGTTTATGTGTGTGTGTGTGTGTGTGTGTGTGTGGGTGGGTTTATTAAAGGAAAGGGCCGGATCAATGGGAACCTTTAGAGCTGACTACAGTAGAACCGAACCGCCCGGCTGGCTGGCTGGTCAGACCCGCTGCGCTCGGAGACCCCTTGCCTGGTCTCTGAGTGTCTGTGTGAGGAAATCAATACCGGAGGATGATTAGTTGGTAGTTACTGAAGAATGGTTTCCTTGGTGTGTTTTAGTTTCTCAGAGAGCTGCAGCAGCTGGAAGATGAAGAAAAACACGGTGATCAGGAAAAGCTCTGGTTGTTAATAACGGTTCCTCTGGTTTAGCAAACGTTAGCAAACCACTTTTATCCAGCTAGACTCGAGGTCTGGTTTGTATTAAGCTGAAACTCAGACAGAAATGAGTTTTAAACCTACAAGGATCAACTTTTAGACAACAAGAAAGTAAAAGCATCACGTTGGGCGTTTGTGCACTGCTTGTGTCGAGTGATTGATTTAGATTTTTGTAAAGGTGCAGGAAGCCTGTTCCAGCTAACAGAAGCTAGCAGCCCATTAGCTTGGCATGGGCTGGAGACGGCTTCTCTGCAGCTCTGCCTGAGCGCCAAAAGTTAAACACAAGTGGGCTTGAGCCGTGTTGCTTTTGGAGACGCTGGCATGAAGCACACAGCTTCCTCCTGAAGCTGTGGTGCTCCTGAGGGTTCCCCTCCCTTCCAAGAACGCTCCTGTAGAGGCAGCAGCTCCAGCTGCTCAGAGCTGCAGAGATGCTGCATCCAGATTACTAATGAATGGCTAATGCAGGAATCCGCTGCTGGCTGGTTCGTTCACTAGCAGTTAGGGGTTATAGTGACATAACTTCAGCCGGCCAATCGTCCCTTAGGTGGGCGTTTGTGGACGGCTCAGCATGAAGCGAGCCGCAGGGTAGCAGGGCCAAAAAAAGCAGTTGGCTCCACTGGCGAAACGTGAAGACCGTGACCCCACCCGGCCTCGGACGAGCACACCAGAGTGTAAATGCACCTTAAAGAACACAAACGGGAACTTCACCACAGTCGAGCATTAACACGTGGTGCCGGCCCAGCCTACGTCAGGTCCGATGAGTCAGAATAACACGATTATTATTTTAGGTTTTCAGCCCTGAAGCGCTCACAGCAATGCTGCTTCACGTGTACTCGCTCTCTGATTGGACATCCAGTCCTCCGTAGCAGCAGTTCTCGTTTTTTTAAAGGTGTGGTTTACTCGTTAGTCTCATGACCATCGACATAAATATACTGGACATCTACTTTCCATAGGCTCCAATAACACATTTTTGAGGCTAAACGGGAGTTGGCCACCACCGCCATTTTGACCGTGTCACAGGTTCCGTCAAGCCCAGACAATTCCATAAAAGGGAAGAGAGGTGGAGCTGAGGGTGGGGCTGTAAGGCTGGGATCAACTGACGACACCCGGTCGAACTAGCTACAAGCTAACCTGAAGCTAACCCTGGCTAACCCAAAGCTAACGCGGAGGTGGGAGCTAAGCTAACGGAGGTAGCAACCTAGCTACAACCGGAGTTAACTGTGCACAACACCAGAGCTTCTGAGTCAGAGATACGCCGGGCTGACCGCTGGGTAAAACCGGGTGGAACACAGAGGTCTCCGAGACCTCCACAAGCCGGCAGCTTCACAGCAGACAAGCGCCGCTGTGATCTGAGATGCGCCGAGCTGCGGGGAGGGGAGAACCGGGTGGAAAACATCGGTCTCCCGAGAGCTCCACAAGCCGATAGTGGGAACCCAGCTCCACCAACATGTTATATTTCAACCATTTTCTAAAGTGCAGCATTATGTTAAATGCACTGGGTTTTACCCTATTACATTTAAATTTCATGGTTAAACAGTACATGTTAAAATCTAAGCTCAGCTCGGCAGTGACCTAAAATACATAAATATAATTTTACTTACCAAAAAAAATGAAGTGGAGACTCCTTGGACGCTCTATTAGTGCAATTAATGCCACAGCAAGTCATTTTGTCCAACAATTACACAAATAATATCCACAAAAGAATACACAAACACAGAGACTCAAAATCCCGGAAGTTTCCAAGCCAGACCGAGGCTCTACTGAGGCCTTTCCACGGAGCTAGCTCTGTGGTCACGTGGGTCTGATGCTCATTAATTATACAGAATTTTAGGCTTTTAATACACTTAAACAGAAGAGTGAGAAAAAAAATTCACCCCCCTCAGAGTTGTCATGAGTGTAAACAAGATCATTTAAACCAAAAACATGTTCTGGTACCAGGCTGTAAACATGTTTATTTCTGCTGTGAAATTGGTATTTTTAACATGGGGATCAATGAGGATTTGCTCGCTTCTGACACCAGCCCCTAGTGGATGAGGGTGGAACTGCAATTTCTGGTACTTCCGGGTTTGATTCAATTTTGGAGCCGCATTGTTGGGGCTTGCTTATGAGTCATTAGAAAAACTATGATGCTCCTGTTCTGAAATGCAGACGTTTGCTTGTGCAGAGGTGGGCTGAGAGCAGCAGGATTACTCATTAATAACGATGTACACACACCTCTCTTCTGATTCAACAGAACGCGTTCAGCCATGTTGCTAAGTCACTACCACCAAGACACTCCGCTCTCTCTCCTCGCTGCAAACGTTTTTTAAAAAGGCCACCTGTGGGCGGGCGCGAGCCAAGATGGGCGAGGCCACAAATGCAAATTCACAGTGTGACATAGACGTGTGAGGCTTTTCTAATCCTAGAGTTTCACCGTCTGTTTTCTATCAGAAGCTAATGCAGCAGATAGGTGTAGGAGACTATCTTCATGTTCAGCCTGCATGAAACACCCAGAGTGACCCGTTAGAATTCAGTTTATTTATAAAGCACCAAAAGGACAAGAGTCGTCTCAAGGCACTTCACAAAGTAAATAATCAGACATAATAATGTTTTTTCAGTCAACCGCACCTTTAAGCAGCACTCTGTTCATCACTCAACGGCTCAACTCTGCCCCCTGTTGACGGGTAACCGGTAACTGCAGCCTCCTTAAAATATGAACTCTGAGTATTTCAAACTTCAGATAATATCAGAACCTGTTGATGATCAAAGTCGAAACATAATTCAAGCTAAACAACAGCATGAGAAAATAAACCAGGTTAAATCACCTCACCATCTAGTGCTCTTGAGCAAACTGTGGCTCTTAAAGAGCAAGTCATCCCCAAATCAACTTTTTTTTCTGATAAACTATATAAACACGTGTCTAATCGTGCTGCAGACACGTGTCGTCAATAGTTTTGACTACTAATTTAACTAATTTTTGTTAAAATTTAAATGTTCTGCCTAAAGCTGCCAGTGTTGTGCCATTGTCAGGTAAAAACTCTGCACTGCATTTGAATTTAAATCTGCCATCGCTATTGGCTAAGAGGTACCCTAGAACGTTAGCTGGTACCATATGATGTCACAATGTCGTTGTGAACCTGTGTGTGTGTATTTGTTAGCGGCTCCACCCTCTCGGTCTGCTAGGCAACAGCATTTGTTGCATTTTTCAAACAGGAAGTGGGAGTGGAGTAATACTCTGGTAGGGGGTGACTTGCTCTTTAAGCCTAAACCTGTTTGGAGGCTTTTATTGTGAAGTATCTGAACAGGATGTAGTTTATATCTGCATATCTGTCTCAGCTCTTTGTTAGTTCTGGTACCCGTTTCTTTCAGGCCCTGGCGGACCTGGTCCAGTCCCACCTGAAGTCCAACGAGCCGTGTTCGCGTCAGCTGACCCTCCGCTGCCCGCTCTGCACCAACCCCACCTGCGGAGAGACCAAGGCCTTCTTCTCCAGCCAGAAACTCTGACAGAAGCCGGTGCTCACATGGACACCTACACACCACGAGGCCCTTTTTAAAAAAAAACTAACTCTGGAGCCGAAGGCCTTCTGCACCTTCTAACGTGTACTATCTTCTCAGCAAGGGTGTCGAAAACTCAGAAAACACAAACACGGAGGACGTGACTTCTGCATCTCCGTCTGTCCTGCAGGTTCTTCTTGGTTGAAGTCTCTTTTCAGCTTTTCATTTGAATTTTCTGTGCTCACATTCCACTCGCTGGCCTTTGAAGCATCAGAGACGCGTCTAGCTTTCTTCTGGTGAGCCGTGGTGAATTTATTCTCGGATTCCCAAAATAAACTCACCAAGAAACGCACCAACAGAGGTATTCTACAACAAAGACCAGAGCAAATCAAACTCATGAAAACTTGCTTCTTTTATCCAGGTTTCTCGTCTCTGCTGGACAAAAACCCGTAAATGTCACATTTGAGTCACGCAAATTCTTCCATTGGTCTGGAAAACGCGGAATGTGTAGAAACTGGAGTTTAGAGAAGCAGTTGGAGTCTTGATGCCATTTCTATGTTTGGTTTCCTCTGATTCGTCATCCGAGTGCAGTGTTCTCACACCGTTTCATCCACTCAAAAACTCCAGCTGCTTGGTTCTGTCAACGGTTCTAAAGAACCCAGAACACCCTTCAGCTGGATTAATCTCACAATTTGAACCTCATCTGCTGCCTGATTCACTCTGAGTGAAGGCAGAAGGGGCAGTTTTTCATTTCTGATCTGTTTTTGTAACGGCTGACCGAACAGAAAACGTGCCTTCACTTTTACACTGAAGGATCAGAACCACTGGACTCGTCCTGCTGTGACCTGAGCCCCGGTAGAACCACGAAGCTTCAGCTAACGAGGCAAGCTATTTGAGGTTTTGCTTGGAAAAGGGGTTGAGGTGGTTAGCAGGTGAGCTAACTAGCATGTAGCATCGTTCTAATGTATAAAACAGATTAGCCAAGAGGCTGTTAGCATTCTCAATAATAAACAAAGCTACCTTTGCTTCTAAGCTGAATTATTTTTTATACGTTTACCTTGAAACCGCTATTTTCCTGTGATGCTAACTTTAAGGTGGCAGCATTTGCTAACTGCACACACACTTTGCTAGTGCTTTGTGTGGTTGCTAATGGTTACCAACAGCAAGTCAACCTAAAACATTTTAACATTTACAAACCAATAAAATGTTTTCTTCGCCCTCAGTTTTAGAAAATGGCGACACGTTGCGGCAGCCGCTAACCGTTAGCAGAGCTGTACTACAGTTCTCGCTTCGCCCATCATTTCATCTTCCACGATGTAACTCAGAGAGAATTGCACTTTATTTTCTCTGGAACAAACTGCGTTACTTTTCACGATCTTCCACCGGCAGACAGGTCCGGGTCGGTTAATGCATGAGACTGGCTCACCCCTTGAGTTTAGGTGCCTTTTATGTGCTTAAATTATTCATAGATCAGTGTCTTAAATGAAGCTTTTTTCTGAAATGGAATTTCAAACTTAGTAGAAAAGATGCACGGAGTCAGCGTTGGACATTTATAATAAAAACTACAGTTTGGCTGAATTTGAATAAAAGCTCGCTCTGTCTAAAAGTTTATTGTTTATTATTGGTTGTTTTAGTTCAAGATGAGACCTTTTTCTCTTTAATTGAGTTCATAGATGTACATATATTTATTTAGTTGTTTAAAACTCAAAATTTCTCCAATACTTTCTTTAGCATGACATCTAGTGTCATGCTAAAGAAAGGCAAATTCGTCTGATTTTATTTACCAGCTGGTTTGACAGCTCTGCTGTTGAACCGGCGACGTGTGTTGAACTAAAAATGCTGATTTAGTCACACAAACAAGAAAAACGCTGCAAAAAAAAGTGTAACTTAAGTTTTTAAATGTGTAGATGTATTTATTTTGGAAGTTTTTTGTTTCACGCCCCTGTGTTGGATCGTGTCTTTGAACTGCTTTTGTATACATTTGAGAACATGGTGTCAGTCACACGTGTCTTCCTTCAGAATAAAATATAAAAAATGCTTGGTTTGGTTCCAACTCCTGTGTTCACATGAATCACGAATAAATGCTATACGTGACTTTGATTCAAGATGGCCGACACAGGTAATCAACATTTGTAAACAGAGAAACGTGTTTAAATCAGGTTTACAGGTATTGGGCTGAAACTGTTTTTTTCAGTAGCTGGAAGTTTGTTGGTTATAACCATCGACATTAATATTATAACTCATACTTTGAGTATTAACACATTAAGTGAGATTTTGTATTGATGTGAAAATGTTCATGACAATATCTTCAGGAACCACTGGTATTAGTGCACTAGTACACAGGATGGTCGGCTAGCAGTGCCTACACCACGCTCAGGACAATCCAGACTTCTCATGCATCGTTCCACAAATGTGGAATGACCTTCCTAACGCTACCAGAACAGCGGCTTCCTTTTCTATTTTCAAGAAACTCCTGAAGACCCTGCTCTTCAGAGAGCATCTTCTAAACTAGCACCCTCCCTGCACCCGTCCCCCTCTCTACTGTCCACTCCTTGTTCCCTCCTCTCCATGACTGATGTCAATGTTGTTGTTGTTAGCCTCAAGGGCAACATGCCGATTATCACTTGAAAGTCGCTTTGGACAAAAGCATCTGCTAAATACATAAACATAAACTAGTAGGGCCAAGGGTTTACAATTAAATTATTAAACATATAACATTTAGTTAGACTTAATATAAAACGGGTACTAAGCAGTCACTGGAAAGCTACACATTCTTTCCAAAAGGGCTAATCAACATAGACATGAATATATATGCACACACCCTATTGGCTGCCATATTGGGTGGGTTCCTCACTCTCCTAACCAACTGGAGTCAGCACAGGGTGGGCAACTGCCTGTTTTTTTTTCTGTGGCTGCAACAACTGGCACACTGTTGAAAACAGATCCTACTTTTCTAGCTACCTGTTGTGGTTTTATATCTTTATTTATTTTATTTTATTATTTTTCTTTCTTCTACAATCTGCTCTTTAACTGTATTATTTCCTGCTACTTCAGCTGTTAACTTTATTTTTCTCTAAGTGTTTTTCTCCCCAGAAGAAGCTACAACGATGTTCTGCTGAGCTGTGGTGGCCTCATGGAGGGGGCCATCGTCTAGCACACTGCTGCTAACCACTTAAACATTCTCCCTCTCCTGATAATAACTTTTTACTCTCTTTGACATTGGATGTGCTACTACTAGTTTACCCGTTTAATTATAGATCCACTAGGATAAATACAATAAAGTTTGTCTCTCATCAAATAGAATATTTACTAAGAAATCACAACATAACCATAGAAACACTATTGGTGTGTGTATGTGTGTGTCTGCTCTGTCTTCTCCATCCCCAGTGAGTCGTGGAGGATGGCTGCTTATACTGAGCCAGGATCCTCTGGAGGTTTCTTCCTGTTAAAAGGGAGTTTTCCTCTCCACTGTCGCTGCATGCTTGCTTAGTATGAGGATTGCTGTAAAGACTCTGACACTAGTCAGTGACTTGATGTAATTTGCTGGGTTCCTTATATAGGAAACTATTTCTGATTGGCTTAATGACCTGACCTGTATTGGAATGTTTATTTTGTGAAGTACCTTGAGACGACTTGTCGTGATTTGGCGCTTTATAAATAAAATTGAATTGAAAAAAACTTGAACATTTATATTTTAATTATCATGCTCCACCATTTGTATGATTTTGTTAAAAGTCATAATAAAAGTGTTTTCACTTGGTGCGATTAGGGACCCATCCAAGATGGCGGATCACTACTACACAAGCCCCGTTCCACGTCGCATCTGCGTATTTGATTATCACAGCTTATAGTAGTGATCAACAGGTGTTTTACCACGCCCCAATGCCACAAGATTCAGCCAGTCAGGGTAGACGAACAGTAATTTACAAAGGACATGGTTGGCGCTAAAAGAGTAGCATAAACTAGATGGATCATTGCGTTTTCTCGATGTTTATGGAGGGAAAGTTGGAAGAAGAGAAGTTGGAGAGGGTATATTAAAGGATATCTAGATCCAGTAGGAAAAGCAGCAAAATGGAAGTTTTTCAGTGACCTGGGCTGGTTTCGGCAGAAGGACCGGCTAATGGAGAGGGCTAACATCTGTTTGGGTTCAGTGTCCACTCCTCCCATCAGTCATGTTTAGCACCGCTGTTGCTGAACAGATTACGCCTAACGGGGCTTTCTGGGCTAAATGAGCCCTTTTACAACGATGACGTGGTGTTCTCGTGACTGTTTGGCAACAAGTTGAAACAGAATATTTTTAATTAGTGTGAAGGATGTGGTGCCATGTTTTTCTGAGTATTCAATGAAAACCCAGCTGAAAATAAATATAGCTGTGACCATTGGATAGTTACTGAAGCGTTGTGATGGATTACTGTTCTTTTTGTGTTTAAACATGCTGTTTTCTATCAGGTTGTCTTCATGTCAGATGGAATTCTTCTCATTTTGACTTAGACTTTACGATAAGCTGCCCTACACATAACACCGCCGTCCAACACTGATTATCTTTTAAGATTAGATGAAAACAACTCTAAATCCATCATTTGTCATCAGCATAGGTTATAACATGAAAGGTGGAGCAGGACATGTATTCCTTTTATTCTGTGAGGAAGTGGAGCCAGAAGGTCTTGAATTAAAGCTGAAGCTTGGTTAAAAGGATTATAAATATATTTATTAAGTATAAACAGGATTTTACATCTTTGATTTCCTGTTTTCCTGACGCGTTCTCTCATCCCCAGCACGTCTGACTGAATCATTCCTACCAGATTTTCTGCATCTCATCACTTTTGCCCTCTTTTGTCTGTTTTTTACACCTTTTGTCCTCGTCCCTCCTTTCCTTCACCCATCTTTCTTCATTAGATCACTTTTCCCCCCCTGCCATCCCATAATTTCCCTCCCTCTTCTGGTTTCTCTTTATCTTTTCCAATCTCCCGTCTTCCTTTCCTACTGCCCATCTCTCTCCATCCTCACCCCCAATTTTCCTGTGTTTTTTTCTAATCTTTGACTCCCCCCCCAGACCTACCCATTCATTCCAACTCATCCTCCCCCCCCTCCCTCCATCTTTTTTTCCCAGCAGTCCCCTGCGGTGTTGCAATCACCTCTGCTGCTGTTGATTAAGCTGAGAGAGATTGGCTGTCCACGACCCAATAACCCCCGAGGGCGGCAGGCTGAGCTGCCACCCTCCCCCCTTTCTCTCCTCCCCCTCCCCCTGCATCTGAGCCAGCAACAATCTTTCATTTCATTTTTGTTCTCTTTTCCCCGCTCAGTCATATCTCTTCATCTCATGTTCTTTTCTCTTAGACTTTCTATCGTCTCTCCACCTTGGTGTCTCCGTGTTTCTGGGTGATTTCATCTCTTCCTACAATGAATTTACTCCTCATAAAGCTCCTTTTGTTTGCTCCTTCTTTTCTCTCCATCCTTCTTTTCCTCTTTTATCTCCTGAGATGTTTAAGCTTCTCTCAATCTCAATGTTTCTATTTCTATCGGTCCGCCACCTTCCCTCCTTCCCTTTTTGCGTCTGATCTTCGCTTCCCTTTTATCATTTTTTTCTCCTCACCCCTTTTAGCAACTTTTATTGTCTGAGACAAATCAGGATTAGGAGGCCCATCAGTCTGAAACTGAATCTATTGATCCACAGAAACATTTGTCTCCATCCAATTCAATTCAAAAATACTTTATTAATCCCAGAGGGAAATTGATTAACTGATTAATTGATTGATTAATTGATCCTTTGCAAACGAAAAGATAAATTACATTAAAATATTATTTAAAGAAATGTTTGAACTTGGTGGTGTAGAAGCTGCACTTTAGTGAAAGTCTCCCCAGAGCATGTAGTTTTTAGGTCTTAACTAGATTACTCTGGTATTTAAAAACAAACAAACAAACAAAATCCCTTCCAGATTAAGACAGATATTTAGATAAATACTGCAGTAATCCCATCGGGTGAGCTGGTGATGATATCTGCATCATCAACATCAAAATATAAATCAAGAACTTTCTGAACTTCGCTTTTAACAGAAGCTCCCTTTAGTTTTTCCTTCCAATAATTAAATTCACAACAAATGGTCTCATATTAATAAATAACTTCTGCTGCTGTTTTGGAACAAAAGAAATTGTAAAATTTTCTGCATCATGTTGGAGACACTTAAAAATGGCCTCAGTGAAGAATATGTTCCTCAGTGTCGTTGTCAAAGCTTCCCAACCCGGATTCATGGCCTGGGCAGGTGTCTGCTGGTGTAAACGTCCTATAGAGAAGCTGTGCTTAGTTGTTTCCTGTGCAGATCTGACCACTCCTCTTCTCCTCAGAGCAGGTCCCAGACCAGTCTGTGGATGAGGTCTAGCACACACCGGTGCAAAAGCAGAGCTGAGGCCAGCACCATTTGGCGTATTCATGAAACAGACTCATGAGGCTTTCAAATGATGCTGGTGGTGTTAGAGGTCCATCTAAAGTCAGACGTCCTTACCTGTACCTTATGGCACTTACACACTAGCATCGGCTCCATCTGGACCAGGTTGGAAGCAGTGGCGGCTGGTGAATTGTTTTTTGGTGCGGCACACTTTAACAGGCGTTGTGCGGAAAAGAGCATACCAGCTGAGATTTGCGGGATCAGTTAGGAGAAGGTGCATGTGAATAATGTGTTGTTTAATAAATTTGTACTATTTACATGTTTCTTATCCATTTGCCTCCTTACAAAATAGTAGTTTATGGGCAGATAAATAAAAAAGATTTGTTATTTATTATTATTATTATTATTATCTTTAAAAAATTTGTAATTTTGAGTCACATTCTTGTTTTTTTTAAACCAGCAACAAAAATTCAAGCAGGCAGAAAAAAATATAAAACTACTCACTAAAGGGCTGAACGATCAATCGTTTTTGGACCGAAATTGCGATTTCAAACAGCACGATCACGTGACCATCAAAGCTGCGGTTTTAGCGGGTTTGACTGATCCAGGATCAGGTGTATAACTTTTTTTTTTTTACATCCGGGGGTTTTTCCG